CGGCGTGGCGACGTCGCGACGCCAAGGCCCGACATGTTACATTTCAGGTCCTAAACAATAACGAACGTGGGTGCACCGAATTGATTTCGACCTGGTCTCACTTCCGGAATCGTATTTCGCGACAACTTTGACAGCTTCCGCAAGCCATGAAAAGCGTGCCGACCGTTTAGAATCACCGGGTGAAACTAGTCGACGCGTGGCTACATCACTGTGGCAGTCTTTATCCCTACCGCGAGTTACCTCTTCTTCGTCCGCTTCTTCATCGCGCGTCACGAAACCACCGCCTCAGGTCTCTCTCTATCTCTCTCTCGCTCTCGCGACTATTTAAATCTTTTGTACTCCCTCGTGGTTCCACGATGTCAGGACTGTATCACGGCGCCAGAGCAACGATACGATTTTTTTCTCAAAATACGGAATTCTTGATTGATAAAAGAAATAATTTGAATAAAAATATTATTAACAAAGTATTATTTTATAATTGCAAAATGTTTAAATGATAAATTTTGTTGTTTTTATTGGCACGTTTTATATGAAAATATATAAAGCATAATTTTATACTATCAAAGACTTATTATTTTTTAGCTATAAATTCTATCGAAATATACAAATTGACTGATAAAAGATGTCAATTATTAACGAAAGAAAAAGAAATATTTTTAAATTAGTTATGCAGAATAGATAATTTTTCGAAAATTTACGGAATGTATATATAAATTTATAATATTTCTATCAAATTTTCAGATATAATAATTTTTATTTCATCTAATAATATTAGGCGGTACTCGAGTATTCCGGCACTGATCATTATGTCTTTTGATGTTATTTTAGACGTCGTCGGACGATCTTATAAATTTTGCTATTTTATTATTCGCCTTGACCGCGATGTTATGTAAAAGCTAAGTTCTGAAAAAAAGATCTCTTTCTCTGACAAGTCCGTATATTATTTAAGTTTATATGTTCTTATTCATTGTAAAGCTGCACTCTATATATATATAGACATTAAAACATGATATCATTTAATCTATACAGATGTCAAACACAGATTCTTTTACGTTCTCGAATGCATTTTTGGCTTCGTCCCTTTTCTTCGACAATTTATTTTCCGATTAATATCGTTTGTCATGAAAAGTGACACTGCCAGTTCTTATGTTTAATATCATCAGTTTTGAAATCCGACAATAGCGCGATATTTTTGATATTGAAGAAATTCGATGTCGGTGCAAACCTGGCCGATGATAAATTGTTCATTAGACTGGCGCCATTTCTTCACGCGGCGATATAATCTATCAAGAGGTTGAAAAAGAACTCAAAATAATCTCCAAGCTTGACGTAGGTAGTGTCTGGTTTTCTTACTGAGCGAGCATGAGACGGAAGTAGAAAAGAAAGGGTCTACAAGTAACTGGTAGATTGATCCTAGAACGACTCACTTTGAACCCTCTCGGCGTGCTGTCAGTTTTTCTAATCATGAAGAATTTTCTTCGCACGCCACTTGAATGCACCATGATAATCCGGCTGCATAATATGTCAGAAGGAACAAAAAAGCTCGTGAGACGCTATCTTGATTCGATGAGAGTGTTAGGCATACTTTTTGTATTTATATGCACTGGGTGATCCTAAAGTAATTCCTAATTTTCAATTTTCTAATTACAAAAATAAATAATTATATAATATATAAAATTTGTATTTAACTCTTGACTTTAAATAAATAATAAAATTTTTGAAATTGTTTAAATTATTTTTTAAATATATGTATAATATATTATAAATACTTACAATTTTATTGTTATTTTAATTTAAAAATTATTAATGAATAATTATTCATATAGAAATAATTGTTGAGAAAAGCTATAAAATTTTGATTATTATTTGAGTATTAAATATGTCGATTTATACGCTATTGCCCAAAATACGTTTGTAGTTATCATGCTTATTTATTTATGGCTTGACTCAAACGTGTGTTCTCGCGTTTATTAATACTTGAAGCAGTTTTCAAAATATTCAAGTCACTGATTGCTCCATCGATGGAAGACTAAAGTCGAGATTGGATTGACGTCTCAACGGTACGTTACGTAGGATAAGAAGTTAGCGTTTAGCTTTTTGGAATCTGTACAGCGTCGACATCTGGATTCTAAGTTCTAAGAGAACAAACCTCCATTCCGGAATATTTGCCAAAACAAAGCTTTTCTTGGCTCCACGGGTAAATAAATTTCAAGAAAATTATGTAGACACGCGATTCATGTGCCGTCATTCAAGCTTTTTGTATTAACAACGTACTCACTTGCGATATCGGCATCCGTTCAATTTCATTCCTGAAGTTTAATTAAAACATAATACCTGACGAAAGCTGTGATTACATATACATATACATATACCCACCATTTTATTATTCAAACATCGTCGAAGAAATGTGATTAATTAAGCAGTCGATTTCAATGACAGCCTCTTGCGAGCTTTTCCGTATTAGAATCCTCAATAATTCAATAATTGGCGTTTCACTTTTAAACAATTCAGTCCTTTTTTCTTAACTATTATTTGACTTGTAATTTTAAATTTTCACAGCTTATAAATCTACTGATTAACTTAATCAGTCACATGGATTCGTCATTGTTCACATTCAGTTACAAGGAAATCACTAGTAAAGTTCTCCTCTTTCTCTTGATTTATCAGCTTCACTATTTTTTTTATAGATTAAATTGATGTCATGCGATGAACGTTTCTTTAGAAATTGGAACACGAATGCGTTTTGCGTCATCTCGGGCACATTTAGCAACTGAGTCAAGTCTGCTGGATCGTGACCGCCGGTACTAGAAACTGTACTACTCGCTTACCCGACTGGACAAATTCAGCGTGTGCAGGCCAGGCCTCGAAAATAGTTCGCAGTAAGTTCGTACGGCGACTTCAATCTGATGTATGCACGTGTCTATTTGTAGATGACCGCGGCGCGATGCAGTTTACCAGATCTATCACAGTCGCGTAATAAAATTCTCCGTGGTTATCACATATGAAATATATTTGACCTTTTGTTTGGTATCACTCGTAATGACGAATTCATAATTAAAGCGATGGTAGCGAGATTCGCGAGATTAATGGTATTCATTTATATATAAAACGTCCCCCAATTTCAGAGAGCACAATTGCGCCAAACGAGTTTATTAAAACATCTGTTAGTAAAGCATAAAAATACTCAAATAATTAATTCCATAGTGTATTTACCAGGGGAAGAAAAGAGAGAGAAAGAGAGAAAATAATAATCTATATGAAAGGGTGGTTTAATTAAATTTCTGATGACATATTTTCTGATTTAGGATTAACTTTTTTGTTGCAATGAATGTATCGTAATAAAATATCTTGTATATCATCAAGATATTAGCTTCTTTCTTATCGCGATATTTGTTTTTAACTTTAATAGAATAACAAAAGTTTGAAACTCTTGCTTTTCCATAACATATCAAAAATTCCTTTAGCACAGTAGTTAAATTAATCCTTGATTGCTTTGGCGCAGTCATATCCTAGAGGATCAAATATTTAACATTATTAGTTGGTCTGGCCTGCCACTAACGCGTAATGGAAGTCCCTGCGAAATTAATTTGGCCCCCGAGTGTGAATCGTCTATAACGGCAAATTAATAATTCAGACAGTAGCGTTCAGAGCAACTGCGTTAATAAAATTCGCTTAAAATATTCTGGACGAGAGGGAAAAAAATGAAACGGTGTAAGTAATAAATAAGCTGAATAAAGTAACAGCGTTATACTAACAAGATGCAAAAAATTCAAATAATAGTCTCGTTTATCTAACTTTATGTTTCATAACAGAATTTCTAGTCATTAAATTCAACATATATGTTTTCGTCGAAAGAGACAAGAGAAAAGTTGGAATTTTTTTTATCTCTTCATATATTGAAAATCATTTTATCCCGCTTGTCCATCGCGAACGTTTTATTAACTAGGATCAAGTCGACGGAAAGAAAAAGTAATTGCGACATTGTCCTTTCGAAACGACATAGTCGCGATTACCTTCACCTTCGATTCATCGACAAATCCGCGTGAGCTGCCGCGCGTTTCCCCTTGAATCCTTCTCTTTTTACCTTGCTCCACCTCGGCATTGATGTGAATGGTCCTCAGTCTGAGCTCCTCATTCTCGTAAATCATCCCCCTCGAGGACTTCCGGTCGAGTTTTCTATTTGGCTTGACACTGACGTCTCGCCGCCTGGTTCTCAGCATCCCTACACCGCCAACACCACCCACCCCCGTTCCCGCCATCATCTTGTTCCTTTTGCGCTATTTGTCTTCTTCCTTTTCCGCGAATGGTGTTACGTGGTGTATCACAAAAAGCGGATCGCGACGAGTGACTGATTGTCCGCAATGATCGGCTGTACCATGCGCGCGGCCTCTTGAGAGGAGAATACTACGCGACTCTCCCTTGTTCCCTCTCTGCTCTTGAGAAACTTTCGCGAGATATACTCTTGTTCCTCGTAACTATTTGATCCTCCGTTTGATCTTCGACGTTACTCGAAGAAAGTTCCGAGTATAAAGGTTTCACGTCTGTCGAACTTGGCAAGTGCAGCTATGATTTAACCACTCGACGTTCTTTTTATCATGTAGGTAAATCCGATGATTCGTTTTAAAGTGTTTATCTTTATTCTTTATATGTGTTATATCATGAAACATCTCACTTCGAAGCGTTTGCAATTTCTGTAGTTTTGCTTATTCCATGGTGGATCTTATCATATTGAACATCTAATCACTTTCTGTCATTTAATGATAGAAATTTTTGTATTAATATTTGTATAATAATCCGCAAAATTATATTATCTAAGAGTCTAAAGTCTTTTATGTTATAAGAATTGATACTGAATTCTCTTTTCCGCTGGATCTTATCTTCATTGAAAAATCACTTCTAGCCATTTAGCAAGTATATCTTAGTCTTGTATTAACTCATACAATAACGGGAAATTTTTATATTATACATATTTATATAATTAATCTTATAATAACTCCGCACTATACGATTAAAGGTGCGCACTCGCGCCGATACGCTGGATCTCGAGAGCAACGCGGTAACCACTTCTTCCGTTTAAAGCTGAACGTATGTTCTTCGAATAATCGCACAGTCACTTCGTCGGCGAAGAGTCTGCCTGCGTCAATCTCGGAACAAATCCGGGAAGTGAGGTGTAATTGATACCGGAGAGACCGAACAGATACTTTACTTGCTGAGTCACTTCTTATTGTGAAGACTATACATGCTGGTTTGTAGTACTGCAAAGTTTGTACACACTGACTCGTGATATCATGTAGTCTATACAGACCTAATATCGCCACGCTGTTGCATCGTGAAACCAAGGTTAAAAGCCATTGAGTTGCTAAGGAGTAATCCGTCTAAAATTTCGTATATGCTTCATGAATGTTATAATGTGTTGTAGTATCCTGCAGATTATATATCTTGGTCCATAACGAGGACAAAGTTGAGAGCTATCATTGTTGACGAATAACGTAATCTATCCGTGATCTCCGTTGTATTGATATTCATCGTTGTATTAACTTAGTGCAAATCCTCTATCGTCAGTACTAATTGGTTAATTCCTCCTGGGATTAACGTACATCCTCTCAGATCATCACGGAGACGATGGACGGCCGATTTGCTTTGTGAGCCTATCCTCGGTCCACGTGATCATGGTGAATCGTTTAGACAGAGTTACAGTATCCGGCAGTATCGGTCGCTGCATTGTCCTAGCGGCCAGCAGAATTTGCATCGGGCACTCATTTCTCACGCAGTATTCCTCGCACGTAATTTGCGTCCCCATTACTCAGCGTTTATCAGCGTGCTCAGGCGAACAACCACCTCTCGTACTTTTAAGCGCCGTTCTTGTGTTTTTTTTATTTTTCCCTCTTTTCTCTTTCTTTTTATTCCCTTTCTTTTAATTTGTTTTGTACGTCCACGAGGCACACGCGAGAGAATTTATCTCGTCGCTTGGGCGGATTTTCTGCAATCTTTGACCAGCTGCGGCAGTCATCGACTATCACGCGCCGTTATGAATGTAGAGATTTTTGCTTCGAGGAAATCGCCAGCGATTATTCACAAGGGACTTAAAGTTGCAGCTTGAACTTCTAGTTTCTATCGCAGTATCTAGTCTCTTTCCTATCCGGTGGGACGTGTCCGTGTACTCACGCAAAAACTGCTCTCGCGAGAACGATGAACAGTTGTTGTGAAGCGATTATCTATGATGATGCATAATGTCTCCGTTGCGGGAAGATTCATTGGTCCTTTAAAAATGCGTTAAATTTGAAGGAAAATGACGAAACGGTTGCTGGGCTGTACCGTTAGATCGAAATATGTAATTTCGATGAGTTGATTAGTTGACTTCATAAATTTCGTAGCGTTTTTTTTTTATTTCTGTATATTCTTTGGTTGTTGAACTTCCTGATTATTTTTGTTCCTATTATCGATGATCTGAAAAAAAAAAAAAAAATATATATATATAT